GCACGGGACGGGGGAAGGGGCTGTTCCAGCAGCAGCCCCTGTCCACAAGAAGTCCCAACTCCCCAGGTGGACCCCTCATGGACAGGGCCTGCTGGACCTGGCGCCATCTGGGACTTACCTCTGCTACCCATTTAAATGCAGTAAAAAGCCGGGTTGGCAGGCAGTCCAGCTCTTACTACATTTAAACTGCAGAGCCACAGTGGCAGTAGGTCCCAGACCCAGTGTGAGCCAGGACCGAGCGCCTTCCATTATTGACTAATCGTGTAGTCGATAATAGTTTTAGTGACTACACGATTATTGAAATACCTGCTTATCCTAGTGGCAACCTCTCACCCCCTTTCTTTCACAGACAGTGGATAACTGGTACAATAGTTTTAGTGACTACACGATTATTGAAATACCTGCTTTTCCTAGTGGCAACCTCTCACCCCCTTTCTTTCACAGACAGTGGTTGCAGTCACATGTCTAGAACCAGAAATGTTCTGGGTGGTGGGGCAGGGAAAGACGTAGAGAACAATCTCTAAAATTTACTGTGAAGTTTCATCAATAAACTAATCTAATTTTCATTAATAAAATTAGAACCCTTATTGCCAGATGAACTTCGGAGAGAAACACCCTCCAGTGGAATTTTACTTTGCAGCCTGACACGCTTTCATGTTACCAAGCAGAGGCACTGGAGCGCTCTTTCCTACCATTCTCATGATACTAGTCACTTATCTGTTATGTGCTCTCAACCGTGCTGTTAACGGTTTTGCTCAAGTATAAGAATTATTGCTCAAACCTCTGGGACTGACAGCAGGCCCACTGCAGCAGACTCCAGCAAGTTTGTAGGGAGGATCAAGCGTCCCAGTGTCAATGAGTTAAGTTCAGGACATCTACAACTGCAATTAACCAATACTTGGGGAAAAAAACAAACCCAGGATCCTAGTAGACTGGCCATCTTCTCTCACCTCCCGTATGACTTGCTGCAGCTCCTCATTCTCTACGTTTCTGTGAATTTCGTCAGCTGAAGGCACGATAGGGACTTTTTCAAGTTTTTCTTCTACCCGTGATTTGAAGTCTCCCGACTCCACATAGCACTCAGCTTGCTGCTCAGTGCCTGCTCTTGCAGGTGGAATGGGTGTTAAGGCCACAGATGCTCGGTATAACTTCTTGCTTTGGGTCTTGGATTTTCCAGTCAGCTCAGAGGAGTGTATAGCAGCTTTTCGACTTGTATGACTGGAGCACACTGAAGAAGAATCCGAGTTTCCATGAGAGAACAGCGACTCTGATCCCTCAGCTGGTAGAGTTTCCAAACCAAGTTCTCCTAGTCCCAATCCCAACTCTGACTTCAGAAATGACTGTTCTCGAATAAGCTCAGAGACCTAGAAGTGCAGAGAAACCAGTTTGTCGTATTCCTCCTTGTATTTTCTATTGTGGACTTAAGACAACAAACACTAGAAAAATATTACTCACTGGTGTTTTGCCTGTTCAACTCAACTCACAAGCAGCAACTCACAAGCAAAGCCCATTCACACTGTTCTGCAGAACTATACGAAACATGTGCAGACACGACTCCTCGTTTTTCTTATTTATTCAGTCACTTAGCTATTCCATGACTGTGTATGCTTTGCTTTTGTGATTGCAACCAAGGATCATAAGGAAGAATCTTTTATTTAAAGCCAAATTAAATCAAAAGTCCTGCAAGCCACTGACTTTTGTAACAAGGCATGCACCCTGTCAAAGCTGATGAAAAATATCCATTCATTTTAAATTGTTTCTTCCCTTAGCAAAGCACCAGAAAGATGGCTGTTTCTGCAAATTATGGACAGCTCTTTTTAGGATGCCTGTTATTTTTCTAAATTGAAATAAATTAATGACTATAGCATAAAGTAGAAGTACTGCAGTAACTTCAGCTCATATTAATAGTAGCTAACTAATACCAAGCAACACCTGCCCTGAACACATTTCTCCTAAGTAAACACTTATATAGCATGGGTTTCTATGACCATGTGAGCAATGCAACACTTTTCAACAGGACTATTCATTGGATAAGTGCTTGCAGGATCATGGCTCTAATAAATAGTAACCCAGTCCCACCTTTCCTAACAATGTTTGAGACAAAATTACTTACTGGTTCCATTACATTCAGTGGAGAAGGGCATGACAGATTATCAGTGCTTCTGCTGCCATATATGCCCTGGAAAATTAAGCAAAATTAGTGTACTGAGATTTGTTTTTTTGTAAGCTGTCAAATGTTAATAAATAATGAATTGTGTACCATGAAACATTCTGACTTAAAAAAACAAAATGAAACATGGAAATCAGGACACAAAGCTGGTCAAAGAGTGTCTATTTTCAATCATTGTAAAACCAGGCTCTTTTCCTATAGAGGTTTTAGAATATATGTATGTATAATGTTCCAAGATTTTAAATTTAGCTTTGAATCATACTAATCTTAGTTTTCCTGTCCTTCCTGTGCTTCAAAAGTTTCTCCATGACCTGTCTGTCATGCCTGCTCTGTGTTTCTGTTGCCGTGTCACACAGAAATTCTATAACAGCATAGGCAGGGCAAATTAAGAGTAACTGTCATTCTCATCAGTGCCATGAACCGAGAGGGAGCTGCCAAAGGAAACACACAAGAGCAATGCTTTCTTGCAAGGGTGGGGGAAATTGGGGGGAATCTGGGGAAAGGAGAGAGAAAAAAAATAAAAGATATGAACAGTGTATCCCCTACCCCACTGATATACACACATAGGTCTCTTTTCTTTCCTAGGGAAATGTTTGTATTGCCAGTGCTTTCTTATTTAGTAGAGGCACATGAACAATTTGTCAGAGGATAGGATAAGAGGAGCAATCAAGGAAAGCAAAACAGAAACGGAAGGGCAAGGCAACCCAGAGAAAGATGGCACAATGAAAAGCAGAAACAAATTTGGATCTATGCCCAGTCCTTCACCCACTGGATGGGCAACACTGGAGGTAGCACGCTCAACCTCTTCAAAGCATATGGCCCTACCTCATTTTGCTTTCTATAATGGCCTTTGGCTAGCAAGAGGAGCAGTGTACATGAACTCCTGAACACTACCAGGCCCTATGGCTGTGGTGATTCATGAGGGATAAGTTTGTGGGAATCTGAGGATTGAAGAAAACTGGAGAAAGCGAAGAAGATTAGCATAAGTCAAATCCTCATGTGGTAGACCAAGTTCTGCACAGTGAGGTATTAATAGTGTAGCCTCAAAGGGGAGAACATTGTATGTTAAGTTGTTCTCTCTGCACTTGGACTTCCTTTTCACATCTGAAAGGACTCCCTGCCCGCAACAGATAACAGTGATGTGTCACATCTGTACTAAACTAAAACCACATCTCCAACACTCAACATATTATTTTCCCAATTAGTCAAGGAAAATGTTCAAGGCTTTGGTTGGAGACTACTTTGATTTCAGTCGGTGTCTTCTGCACTGCAAGGGAGAGCATATGGTTTACTTCAGCATTGCAATTAACGTAAACATGCTGCTAAGATATTTGAATATTTATAGCTTGCCGAGCAACACGCACCGTGAATGTCTGAGGTCTGTAAGGTGAAGACACATGTAAAGCTCTAAGCTGTTCCTCCAGAGCAAGTAGACGTTCCTCTAACTGCATTTCTAGCTCCTGTAGCTCCATGCGCACCGATTTTCTCAAACTCTGGAGTTGATCAGCTTCATATCTATATGCAAGTAAATGATAAAAACAACAGCAGCAGCATTCTGTTAGCTAAGAGCCATAATCCATCACATCCTCTGAAGCACCATAGCAGCCAGGACAATAGAATCTATGGTGCTCTTTCACAAGAAACCTGCTGTCACCTGAGCAGTAGTGAAGGGGAAGGGAGCAAAAGGTCAACTGCATTTCTTATTAAGGAGCTGGGGCAAGCTGGAGGGGATCAATTCCGAAAAAAAAAATGTATACCAGTAGCTGTCTGGGAAAAGAGAAAAAAGGCTGGTTTCTACATTCCTTTTCTGCACAACAGGAAGCATGTTCCACAAATTACAATTCAATATAGTCAAATAGATGGAGTTTAGACATTTAAATACATTTTAAAATGGATTCATTAGCAAATAAAAACAACAACAGCGACATTATGATAAACATTTATTTCTCCTGCCTGGGTCTCTTTTCACATGCAATGGTAGCAAGAGGGTGAAGAGGCCATTATCAGCAAGCAAGCTGCTTGTGAATTAATTTTGAATTAGGCAAGTCAAGAGCTGCTTTAAAATATGTGAAGATGAGCAATATTTAAAATTATTCCAGATCAGCTGGATGAAGCTCTTACTGGAAACCACGTTCAGGACAGTTAATGATAGCCAGCATGAGTGGGGGATGAAAGAACATCTGAATATTTTGCAATGTATTTATTTTTGTATAATGGTGGGAAAGAAAAAGATCCAAGCCAAAACATTTAATCTAAAAATATTACAAGTGGCCTTAGATAAAAGCTCATTAAAACCCTCAACTATCAAAAACATTCGGGCGACCAAGACCAGGCTCTGCTGGATGACACTAAAAAAGACAGACCGGAAGAGAAGAATTACAGGCATGGGAGATAGTAACCAAAAACGGAGACAAAACTCAGGCTTCATGCTGTTAAATGGGAATTCAATGATCAAACTGTCTTTAACTTCAATGGGAACAAGAGCAGGCTCCTTATATAATCATTTTTGCTGGACCAAATAAGTTTAAATACGTGCTTATTTTCTCTTTTAAAAAACTACATGCACAATGATATTCACCTTTCCTCTTCGGTCATGTGCTGATAAACCGTTGTTTGCTGACGTAACATTGTCAATTCCAAATCCATCATTTGTGTTCTAAACAAGTTTAGACTCCGCCTCACTACCTGTAGTTCCTGGAAAGTATTCTAGAAAGATATGAAGAAGAAGAAGGTGTCACACAGACCTTTGAAAAGAAACCGCAGTCAAGATGGGGATCGTTTGACAGAAATGCCCCGTTTCAAAAGATCCTGTAACCCTCATTGAGGATCTTTCAAAACGGGGCATTTCTGTTGAATGACCCATGTCTGCGAAGAAAAAAAAGTAGCTGCCATTATGTAAATGAAGCACAGGAATTTTAAATCCCAGCTTCATTTACAATTTGATACGTCTAATTTACATCCCTTTATCAAAAAAGGGATGTAGTTTAGATGTATCCCTAATGTCCAAACTAAACTGTCCTTACTGCAATTTAATCCCATTGCCTCTTGTCCTATCCTCAGAGGATTAACAATATTTTTTCCTCTCTCCTCCTTGTAACAGCCTTTTATGTAATGAAAATTGTTATGTCCCCTCTCAGTCTTCTCCAGACTAAACAAACCTGGTTTTTTCAATCTTTCCTCACAGGACATGTTTACTAGACTTTTAATAATTTTGTTGCTCTTCTCTAGATCCTCTCCAATTTGTCCACATCTTTCCTGAAATGTGATGCCCAGAACTGGATACAATACTCCAGCTGAGACCTCTTCAGAGTGGCGCAGAAGGGAAAAATTACTTCTTGTATCTTTCTTACAACACTCCCACTAATACATCTTAGAGTGATGTTTTTCTTGTTTTGCAACAGTGTTGCGCTGCAGACTCATATTTAGCTTGTGGTCCACTATGACCAAAATCCCTTTTTGCAGTACTCCTTCCTAGTCAGTCATTTTTCCCCATTTTGCATATGTGCAACTAATTGTTCCTTCCCATTTTTGCATTTATCGTTATTGAATTTCATACCATTTACTTCAGACCATTTCTCCAGTTTGCCCAGGTCATTTTAACCTTATAATCCAAAGCACCTATAATCCCCCCAAAAATAGTATTATCCACAAACTTTCTAGTGTTATCTAAATCATTGACAAAGACATTGAACAGAACCGAGACCAGGACTGATCCCTGCAGGACCCCATTCGATAGCCCCTTCCAGCTTGACTGTGAACCACTGTTAACTACCCTCTCAGAATGATTCTAACCAGCTTATAGTAGCTCCATCTAGGTTGTAGCGTCTAGTTTGTTAAGAAGGCCACACAACACAGTATCAAGCGCCTTACTAAAGTCAAGATATACTGCCTCTACTGCTTCCCTGCTATCCAAAAGGCTTGTTATCCTGTCAAAGAAAGCTATTAGATTGATCGGGCACAATTTGTCCTTGACAAATCAGTGCAAACTATTAACTTCTAGGTGTTTCCAAATTTATTACTTAATTGTTTGCTCCATTTTCTTTCCAGGTACTGAAGTTAAGCTGACTAGTCTGTAATTCCCTGGATTGTTCTTTTTACAGATTGGCACTAACTGTCCTTTTCCAGTCCCCTGGATTCTTATCCATTTTCCATTACTTTTAAAGATAAATCACTAACAGCTCAGATATCTCCTCAGTTGGCTTCTTGAGGTTTCTAGAATGTACAGAATATGGCACATTGATGGTACTACTGAAATATTACTAGTTATTAATAAAAATAAATGTATTGTCCCTTACTTCATACAGAGGTAGAATGGATGATCTTGGAGTACTGTACGAGCCAACAGCAAGATCATGTCCTCTCATCACAGGGTACTTTAAAAAACAAACAAACCACTGAAGTGAAAATGCCAATACAAATCAATCCTCATGCACTCAGGTGATAGGCAGCAATACAAAACCGTAAAAGAGAAGATCAGCTGCACTGTGAAAGAGAAGGAAACCAAAAGATGCAGCACCAGTAAACAATAATGCCCTTTGTGGCAATATGTGCTCTACAATTGATAAGATGAAAGAGGGTTTTGATGTGAGGAGGGGCATGCAGAACAGCCTTAGAAAAAAGGAGAAAAGCAGGACATTATGAAAGCATGCTTTCCTGTCAACTCACTACCATCAAAGTGCTGAATTCAAACATGACAAAAAAATATCATGTTGGCTTCAGAAAACTGGAAGGATATGTTTGGGCGTATACCATTTGTTTACCTTTGATATTTCAGTAATTCTGACTACGTTGCTAGTGCCCCATTTCAGTGAAATAAAGGCAACTATTTCCACTAGGGCTGCCAAGACAATTTATCCAAACAAAAAACAGGGCACATTTTCACACCATACCACCTAACATCTTCACTGTGCAGATTTGCCCTTTTGGTGTTTTATGTCAAGGTCCCTTAACTTAATAGTTTTTCAGAAAACTATTTCTTTCTTTGCTGCATCCCAGGAGTTGAACAGTTAGGCAGAGTCGGCAAAATGTACACGCACACTGTAGTGGAAAACAACTGCACATAGGTGAAATATCTCAGAAAATGTCGTTTGTCCAATGTAATTCTGAGTTCAAAGGGCAACTGACATGCCATAGAAAATTTGAAAAACATTTTAAGAGGAGGTTTGCTTAAACATAAGCATTATAAGGTTTTTGTCCCTCTCTTCCCCACACTCCAGAAATTGATCTGTTCTTCTTTATCCCTGACTTGAAGTTGAAGTCTAGCATTTGGGACTTTTCAGTCATCTATTCAGCAATTTGTTGTCATGTGACAGAAGACAACTTTGTACAAAGAATAAGAGAGAAGCAGGCAAATTTCTACAAAACAAAGATGTTCTCATGCAAACCTCTCCAGTAGTACTGATGGAGTGAAATACAATCAACAGAACAGAGCTTCGGGCCGGCTGAGATATGCTCAGTACAGGACTGCACTGAACATATCCTGGTCCGGTCTAGTTATGGATATTTTACAAAAATTATTCCAACCGATGCTAATGTCTATCAAGTGATTTGGAGTAGGGATTTTAGCGCATAGTCATTTACAGGGCTCGCCAGCCGCACAGTTCTGCGCTCTGCACTGGCTCTTCCGGGGTGTAATCTACTCGCCATGGGCGAGTAGATTACATTGTTTGTTGAGCCCTGGTCATTTAAACGATTAACCAATGAACCTAAATTTATCGGTTAATCCAAATGACTACATGCAACCCTTCCTCTTCCCCCCGCTACCTCTGAGGTTGGGGCATGTGGGAGGGCAGGCGACTCTTAAGACAGTTCCCTGTGTGTTCCCAGTTCCCTGCTGGTTTCCGCGGAGCCATCTCCCCACCTCACCCTCGCTGCCATCCACAGACGCAGCAGGGGTGGGGGAGTAGGTGGGAGCCAGCTTAATAGCCAGCTCCCCATGAGCACTGGATCCCACAGAGCTGTCTGCCCCCCGACCCAAGCCCTGTACAGCAGCTCAGGCTCTCTGCAGACAGGGCCCGCTGCCACAAAGCACTCCTGTCTGCGCTGGCCTGGGATCGCGGCAGATAAAGGCTGCTCCGCGGGATGCTGATTTTTAAACTGGCTCCCCTCGCAAACTGGCTCCCCCTGCCATCCTGAGCTGTTGCCTCCGGGAGCAGGGCAGCAGGGAGGGGAGGGGGGAGAGGGTATTGATTAGTCAAAATACTATCCCATGAGCTAATGCTTATCAGATAGTCGACTAGTCTTTTACATCCTTAATTTTTTATTCATCTGACAAAACACATATGGAACAGATGCAGGGCATATTTAAGACTCAATTAACATTTTGCATTGAATTCAACAACAACCATCACAAAAAATTAAAAAAAATCCCTTTTTAACCACAGCTCTAAGTGTGCTTTCCTCTTACCTGAGAGAGATTCTGCAGAGAATTGCGGATATCATGCAGGACTCTGCGCAACTGCATTTCAACAGTAGAGGGTGGGTTAACGGGATGAGGCCGATGAGGATATCCAACATGCCTTGGGGAATAGGGGTATCCAAAAGCAGAAGCTAGTGGACTGCAGGAAGAACCTGAGATGCTTGGGATGCTATGAGTGCTCAGCGTTCTCATATGTTCACACAAAGGCCTGTCTTGCCAATCAGAAGGAAGAGAGTGGAGAGAACATGTTGACTGAGATATGTGTGCTGGGATGGACAATGGGCTGCTTTGTAGTTTATTGTGACTGGATTCATCCACCAGCCTGCTCTGGGGAGTTTCTTTTTTCATGGTTGATGGGGCAATGAACAGAGTGGATTTACACGTAGCTGGACTGTTGTTGGTCTTGGTCACTGACTTCTCCTCATCTACCAGTTTCTCTTCCCCCTCAGGTGTGTACTTGTAGGTGAAAGAAGGGGGACTGCACAAAGTCTCTTTTCCTGGAGATAACCGGACATTTACTGAAGACACCACTCTCACAGGATTCAGTAATGAAGTAGGGAGGGATTGGGCCCGCCTCAGAGGATAACCTGATCCAACAAAGCGGTGCCTCTGCTTTTTGAGGAGATCTTTTGACGTGAGTAGAGTGCGCCCTGTTCTGGAGTCAGGAGAGCTGCTGATCTTCATCTGGGCTCTTTGCAGAGCAACATTAACTCTGTCCACAGCAGAAGGGGATGAACTGCTGCTTTCAATGGATACCGTTGATCTGAGAATATGGTGTGTTTGGTACTGAGGAAACTCACACTCACTGCTTTTGTCCAGATCACTCTCATCACTGCCTTCCTGTAGTAATTCAGATTCCTTCAGCTCAGAGGAAAACTCTTCACCTTTGGTACTGAAATCCCCTTGATCCATATCAGATGTCTGAATCTGCTTGCTTTTACTATCTTGGGTCTCACCAGGTCCATGTGCCATGATTTTCTCAACATCTCCGGTTCTGTTCTTAGGTGTTTCCATGTCTGTGTGGAGAAATTCCTCCTCATCCTCAAATTCATTGAAATACACCTGCCCCTTGGCTACTGGCATCTTAATCTCTTCACCAAGTGACTTCACTGTTGTTTCACTGTCACAGCTGTCAGCACTGCTTCCCATGGCCTGCAAAGACTCATGAACCTGTGAAAGGCAAAACAGATGGGAGAAATGCCAAAGAAAGCAACAGAACACTAGGGATATAGCTTCTACCTTAACAAAAATTCAGGCTAGCAACTGAGAAAGTTCATACTTCGGAAAAAATAAACCTAAATGTGGGTATTCAATGGCAGGGAGAAATCTAGGAATCAGTAAGGCTGAAAGACTATCAGAGGGGAAGTTAAATAGGAGTATGTAATGAGATATGACACTGACACAGGTCAAGGAAAATATAAGAGCCACGTGTTACACAGCATGTGAGCAAGAATCCTTTCTATATAACTTTATAATATTAGGTTCCATTCTAGATATTTCTGCTAGAAGGATAAAATGGAGGTAGATCAGAGAGAAAGAGCAAAATAATTTCAGGTCATCCGGGACTTTAAGAAAATTATTAACATAGCAAACATATATTTTAGGTAAATGATGACTAAGAGAGAGCCAGGTGTCCATATATGATGCTACTACTCTCTGAAGGTTCTCTACTCCAAGCTAATAATTGTTTTGGAAATAGCTAGGAATATGGAAGGGGTGGGCACTCAGAGTGATCGGAATTATTAGATTAGTGCACTTGGTGTCAAGTAGGGTATCAGGAATAAAATTAAGAATGGAAAAATTTAGGCTGAGTATATTTCATTTATTTACACACACACACACACACACACACACACACACACACACACACACACACACACACAATATCTCAGAACTGTTACAGGACTTGGAACCATCAAGCCCCACATGTTGCTAGCCTACTTAACACTTTAGAATTTACCATCCTTACCCTCATTCTCCTTTCTCCCCTCCTACTCCTACTGTTCAATCATGCTTACTTGTGAGTCCTTTCTTAAATGACAATGTAAGCTTTTCTCGGCAGGAACTGCGTCTGCCTTAGGGATGTTAGATATAGCGTAATCGAATAGTTGTGTAACCGCATGAAACCCTAGTGGGGAGATGACTATTCAATAGTCCCTGGGGTCGGGGCCAGTAGCCAGTGTGCTCCCAGCCCCACTCACAGGAAGCCACCTGCCACCCACGGTGCTGCCTCTGTATTTAAAAACCAGCTCCTTGTGCAGACTGGCTGCCTGCCGCCCCACACTGCCACCTCAGATACAGAGGCATCAGCCCCGGGTGGCAGCAGCCCCATCGATGGGGGGGTCCAAGCTCCCCACAGATAGAGGCTACTCTGTGGCATGCAGAGTAGCCTCTGTCTGTGGGGAACTCAGACCTCCTGTAGACAGGGGCTGCTGCAGTGAAACAGCCTTTACCTGCGTCAGTCTCAGGCTTGCCATGGAGAGAAGCTGCTCCATGTGATGCATGGGATGTTGAATAGCCTCTGTTTGTGGGGCTCTCAGGCCAACCGCAGACAGCGGCTGCTTTGTGGCAGCCTCACCTGCCTCCCTCGCTGCAAGGCAGTGGCACCGGGCGGGGGGGGAGGAGGGGAGGAAGACTGAGGGAGGGCAAGAGGAGACAGCAGTGCTGGGGGAAACTGGCTTTTAAGATGGCTTCCCCCCCCCTTGAGGCAGCAAGAGGGGAGAAATATGGGTAGTTGACAAAATTAACTGATAAACCTAGGCTTATCGATACGTCGACATCCCTAGTCTGCATATGATTGTGAACAGATTATAGGTTCAGTGGGGGCTCACAATCTTAAGTGGAACTTCTGGACACGACGAATATGAAAAATAATAATAAAAAGGAATAGCAGGAAAAGCTTCCTGAGGGAAAGTTCTATTACACTGGAATGGCTCCCCCAAAGAAGTCATACCAGACAATAGGGCTTAATCATTTAAAAGCCACGTTGAACACAACACTAGGACTAATGTGTATAGAGTACTCTATAAGACCCAATGAGTTCCCCCGTCCCCTTCCCCCATCTGTAATTTCTTTTGCTCTGTTCCACAGTAAAGAGAATCTGTCACAATTAGTTTACTATTAGTATTAGCCAGCTAAGAGGATAACATTTATGGAGTATATCAGGCAATAATCTCCATCTCCCCTTTTCCCTGAACAGAATTTTCAACCATGAGTTTTATACTCATTGGTATTAATCTCTTTGTTGCTTAATCTCTTTGGTTAACACTGCAAAGCCATAACAAATATATTTCGAAGGCTGAAATAATATGGAATGCCAAAAAAATTTAGCACATACAAGGTTTTCCTACCTCCAACAGATATTGATTTTAGTGAAATGCTTCATGTAAACCAATGTAACTTCCAAAGTCTGCATAACTATGTACTATTATACCTTATTCATTCACAAGTTATCTCCACAATCTTAAAATTGTTGGAGGGGGAATTCCTGCAATTTTCCCTTGATAGATAAAGTCCCTGATAAACCCCTGCATAATAACCTAAGGGAATGCAACAGCTGCCTCAAAAATCTTTGTTAGAATTTGGAGGAGTGGGAGAATTATTGGCAGTTTCAATTATTTCAGTTTGCTGTTTAAAGTTAGTTACAGAACAGTAGATGGCACTAACATGCCATTATTTTAGAAAACAATCTCTACTATTTTTATTCCTTGAGGCTTTTTTCAAGTCCTCTCACCTAGCTACCAAGCTCTCACTTTCTTTTTATATTAGCTTAGCCACTCACCTATATTTTCTTACTTAACCATATACTTTGTTGAAACAAAATGAAGGCAACAGGTTAAAAATTCCATAGCAGAAACCAATATTGTCTCATTCACCATAATTTCTCTATGTATGTATTCATTACAACAAGTAAAACAGCCAATATTGTCTCATTCACCATAATTTCTCTATGTATCTGTTTTACTTGTTGTAATGAATACAAAGCAAAACAGTGCATTTTTTCTAATGAACAGACAATCATCACTATTGGGGCACGTCTAGACTTGCTTTCACTTTCAAAAGATATGCAAATTTATGCTAAATTTGCTTATTTTCT